TCAAAAATTGCATTAAATCATCGCACCCATCCTGTATTGCATATTGGATTGCCTTTTTAGCTTCACCCATTAGAGCATCATATTTCAATCGACTTTTTGATATTTGTTTATAGCACTTTCTGAAAGATCAGCTATAGTATATTTGCGAGTAAATTCTGAAATAATTGGTGTATCACTATGATTAGAGTCACTTACTGCCATTTCATTAAAGTAGTTCTCACCCGAATCAAAATATTCATCCTTGTACCAACGGTTAGAAATTAACTTTAAATGAAAATACGCTTTAGCAGATACTGTAAAAATTTTTAAAAAATGTCGACATATAACTCCATGTGTGATAAGCATAAAGCACATGCACAAATGTTCACTATTGTTGAGCAAAATTACATGTTAATAGCATTTTGGATGATTATACAGGAAACTTTCCAAATTTCTAAAATCTCATTGTGGTTAACTATTGAAATTAAAGATTGTAAATTAAGTTCTCGATCTTCATCTGCTTCAAGTAGAATATCTAAATTATCATCCAGTTCTTTTTCAAAAAATGGTTCAAACAAATCATCATCAGATAATAAAATTTCTGACATAGATACTTGACATGCAAGGTAACATACAGATTGACACATTTGCTTATAATGTGCATCATGAATTGGTTAAGTAAGGAATTTTTTCATTATATGATTAATACTGGTAAAAAATGTTTGTATAATAAATGGTTGAGTATACTGTAATGTTGATGATTTCCAAATTGAATAGCGATTATTAATCGACTCAAATTCAAGTCGATTTTCCAGAGCTTCTTGAACTTCCAAAAAAGAAGAGCTTGACTGTATAGCCTTTTTAATTAATCCATTCTCTGATTCGACACGTTGTGTTGATTGTGTTCCTGCTGTAAAGCAGCGAGATGTGAAGCACTTTACCCATGTATATTTTCGATCTAATAACATTGTTATATATTTTTCCCCTGCTTTGTATTTTTCAATTAGACCTTGAATTCTCTGTTCAAATACTTCTTCACAGTGAGAATGCTGAATATTTTTAAAATCCTTAAGGAAATCATGGTAAAATGATCCTAAACATGAACGAAGGTTCTTTGGAATATTTTGATAAAGGTGATATAAGCATTGCATATGGCAAGTTTTGGGAAATATGATAGAAATTGCCGCAACCATCGCAGGGTCTGTGTCTATAACAAATGTTAATGGAGGAATCTCACATGCTTCTAAACAACATTGAAGCAACCATTTATATGATTCTTGTCTTTCATCCTGTATAAATGCCTGTACCTACTTCTGTTATGATTGTCAATTAAGATAAAAAGACTCAATGGGTAGTTATATTTATTGGTTCGGGCGGTATTGTCATGAATAATTATGTCATAAAACTTGGACCATCTTTCGCGTTGTTTTGAAGATATCCAAAAAATACCAATTAGATGATTATCATCTATTAATAGTTTTACAAACCATTGTGGATCATTAGCTTGAAACTCTAAAAGTTTGGTCAATAAAGATGATGCATCACTTAAGTTTATCCCTTTTTCCTGCTTGA